CCCCCCCCCAACTCCTTTTTTCGAAAGAAAACGAAAACCCATTTTAATTAGCCTTGTACGGTACTCTTAAGCTGGGGACTTCAGAAGGGAATGGTTTGTTTTCTTCATTTTGATCAGTCCTGCCTAAGACCAGCCACTTGTCTTAAACGGCCACCTGTATGGCCACCTTTCAGTTTCTTTGCGACAATGGGTGGCCGTCTCACACAGGTTTGACTGTTGTACAATCTATAAGCTCAGAACAAGGACTCAAAGGGATTTTTAAAAACCTAGGGTAAAGAAAATACGAGTTTAGTTTATATTATAGTACTACTATATTATTATTATTATTATCAGTAAACTTATCAAGTGGGTTCCACTTTAAAATATTCCATAGATCTACATAAAACTTTTCACTCATGAAGCCTTTTTTTTTACCGTCCTCTTTTGAAACAGGTTAAGTAAAGAAAGGAAATCAAATCTAAAAAAAATAAATAATTCAAGCCACATTAATAAATTTACCTGAAGTAGATCTAATATCTACCTTAAAATATAATGTGACATCGCGTCCTTCGCCGTTCCAGCGATAAGACAGTCACTTTGGCTCACTATGCCAGCGTCCTGCAAAACGTCGTCCTGGTCTGCTGTGTCGGAGCACTGGGACAATCGAAGCAACAGTTGCAGCCTCGACAGGGAATACTCCTCCATCTTCTGAATACAGACTTCGCCTCTGGGAGCGGACAAGTAGAAAGTCATGGCTACCTTCACCTTCACCTATCTATCCCGTAGACTAGACTGGATGTCCATCGGTGCCGGGGCGCTTTTAAAGATTTGGCTACCAGCTTCTTCCACTCCTTCCGGTCTTCAGTTTTCTTGAGTGTGTCTTTGAGGCCTAGGCCTGTCCATTCCTTGATGTTGTTCTCCCAACTCTTCTTCTTCAGTTACCTGTAAAGAAATAATTTAACAAGTCACTTGAAAGAACATGAGTCTAGAAATCTAGATTTATAGATCTACTGAAATCACGCAGCCAGCTAGGCTAGAATCTAGTTTTAATAATTATATATAGATCTAGATAGATCTAGATCTATAATGTAATATATCCATATATAATATTACGAAGTGACTATTCGGACTCGAGTCCGAATATGAAAAAATGTTATTCGGACTCTGATTCTTGTCCAGCATGACATCACTTCCGACTTCCTGTGCCTCGTGACTCCGGCTTCCTGTCCTGCCTCACTCGTGACTCGCCTCAGGATGGGTAGAGACCGGGATCACTTCGGGCAAAATGGCGATAACTTGTGCCGGAGCCGAGTTTTTATCTTATGATGAATTTGAGGCCGGCCTGAAAAGTTAGAGCGCTTCTAATAAATGTTTATTTGTCAAGAGATCATCAGAAGCAATTAAAGATGGCCCGTTAGCGTGTGTCGGGGTCGGATGGGCGGCCTGCACACATGTGGCTGTGCGTGCGTGTCGGGGAGGGGGGCACTATCGGTCCGGGTGTTGAACGTCGCAAACGCGTCAGTCTCCCCCCTCTCCCCGGCAACTGATCATTATTACAATAATAAGGCTAGTCTTGACGTAGATCTACGTATGGAATCAAAAGTTGCCGTATGCTCAGCTCTACACAGCAACACAACTTTTTCTTGGTAAACAATCGAGATGACACAGGCTTGTGTATTTGAATGAATCGGTCTTTTTTTTTTTACACAGCTCATAATATGCAGGTGCCAGGAGGTCTGTTAATCTTCAATTTTACCTTTTTCTACAACAAAGAAAGTGGGAAACATGGGGGGTGGGGGGGGGGGCGTACCAATGAGGCGGCAGGCATTGGATAGGCAGAAAAGGTGTGGGAGAAACTAAAAAATGGCGGAAAATTGGAAGCACTGAACGATAGATCTATAGAACGAATAGATCTACACTTCCTTTTTTCCGGACCCGAGTCCGAATAACATTTTTTCATATTCAGACTCGGGTCCGAATAAGAATTTTTTTTATTCGGACTCGGGTCCGAATATGAAAGAATGTTATTCGGACTCGAGTCCGAATAATGACGACCATAATATTAGCATTATATCGCCCAATAGCCCAATATAATATAATGTTTAATCTAGATTCTATATATAAGATGTCAAATTATGTACCGCTGGACTGAACAAGTCATTGCACACTTACAAATACTTTTAAAAAAAATAGTTTGTGAGCAAGCGTCTTCTAAATGTTCTCTCAGTCAGTCACAGTGAGAATAGCCTGGCGATTAGGTAGGTTGCCATCTCTCAAAAAAATATCAAACTTCAAAATGAAAGAGTGAGATGTTTGTTAACACTCTGCAGTAGAAAAATAAATTTGAGACTTACCTCGTCTTTTCGCATTTTCTTTTTTCTTCAACTTGGGGTTACCTAGTTTTAGCCTATTTATTATCAAGAGCAACTCATTTTGGTTGACTCTAAACTAGATCCAGTAATACACAGGAACCCTAATCCATAATTCTTTTTTTAAAAGTATTAGAAGCACAAGAAGCAGTAAAGTGCTTTTGAAACACAAGAATGTCTGTGTTACAATAATGATATGATTATTTTATTAACTTTTGTTTGTATTTTAAGAAGATACAGCTTCTCAAGAAAAGTCGCGAATCCGGCCACGATTTTCTTTAACATCTTTAAAATACCAGATATAAGGACAGTAATTTAATAAACAAATAAAGATGACAATAGACTGTGAAAAATGAATCGGACGAAGAAATAAGAAACAGAGACGAAAATGTTTTGTTCTGTGCACTTGTTTAACCCGCACAGAAAGGATCCTTGTTTTTATAGTTTGAGAACATTTACAAACAATAATAGTGTCTTAGTAATGGCCCAAGTTCTGTAATCTGCTTCTCTGCATTGAGCAACGACATTAACTGTTTTTAGGCCTATAGTTTATAGATCTAGACCTACGTCTGTCCTTGAAAATATTGTGTTCATTCAAAAATCGTGCACACCCTTTAGCGGTCGGTTTATTTGAAATTTTCTTTTGGATCCCATTTGGTGCAGGTATTTTGTTGGGCCACCTTCACCTTCACTTTATTTTACTTTATTGGTGAGAATAACCCATGGATGTCTCGCTGTTCTCACCCCCCCCCCATTTTGGTGTTTCATAGCTCCCTCCCCCGGGGTGGGCATGAGGCAAGGACCTTAGGCTGACCTCTCGAAGGCTGATAAATTCACCTAGGCCCTTGTTCGCTTTTTACCGCATGGTGATTGGGAACGAATGATAAACATTTTTCGCCTCTCTGCAATAAAAAACATTTTAGTGAAGGCTCACTACCGACGCTACTGAGTGGGATGTGGGTCCGGCGCCGGCCGGACCATTCATTGTTTACACACTTGCGATAGCAGCTAGGCCTCTCTGCCTGCACACATGATTGTAATCAATTATGGTTCAAGGAACAGAGCGTGTATGAACGTAACGAGACACGAGCACGAGACTCTATTAAAATTTATATATAACTCTTGCACGACGGTTGAAAAATTTTTTT